ACTTTTCAAATCTGAAAGCCTGGCTAACCATAACCCTAACCCTAACCCAAACCCTAACCCTATAACTCTAATCCTAACCCTAACCCTAGCCAAAAATAATAAAAAATAAAATAAATAAGTGACAAAATTAGCCAATCACTGAATCAGAGAAGAGAGCCGGTTGTTTAGTTTTCAGGACTCCGAAACCGGATCCGGTTGTTTAGACACTTAATTCCTATTATTTATGCTGAGAGGGTCTATGTCACCCAGGGTACTGCCGGAACGTACCCTGGTTACGGTCCGGTATACCGGAACATACCCTGGTACCAGAGCATATAAATCAACGTGATTTATATGCTCTGCTAGCTGGTACTATCTAATATGCCGGACCGTACCTCGCCTACTCCACTAACGAGTCTAGGGAGTCGCCTACGCCTACTCCCTAACCCTAACCCTTACCCGGCCTAACCCTAACCTTAACCCTAACCATATCCAGGGATGAGATTTTTCTGCGGATCCGCGGAAATCCGCGGATTTCACAGTCCCAGGGGTCGATTTTGTGAAACGTCTAAATTCGTTGAGAAAATGGGGGGGGGTAACAATGTAAACATTTAAATTATATATACCCTCAACAGCACCTGACTGTAGACATTAGACTGACAGCGAAGTATACAGTGTATCTGTTTTTGTGTACCAGAAAAGAAAATCCTCGTTCACAGGCTGCAGTATAGGGGCAGACATTTGAGGTAGCTGATCACGTAACGACCATGCCTGGCCTGGGGGACAGGTTTACATGTTGCTGTGTGCATGTTGTGTGCATGACTATATACTGATTGTTCCATTCGCATTGTGTTTTTTTCATTTAAATCTCGTCGCAGCAAGGCAGCTGTTAGCTGCGTTCACACGAGATACACGGCCTCGCTGGTTCCGTACTTATCTGGTGCTGAATTCGATTGAAATACCGGGCTAACATAACCCGGAGCGTTCACACGAGAATCGAGGCTTAGCTGGCTAGGTATAATATAGACTGGTACCCGGTCGACAGTTCCACACGCTAGACTAACATCATGTAGCAAACGGGTACCAGTCAAGGTAAGCGCGCTACAGTTTCGCAATTCGAAATTGCGTTCACACGACAGACAATACGCGGCCAGCGTGGTGCCGAATGTTTCATCGCGGAATCACATTCTGCGCCGAGTAAGCCGCGTATTTCAGTACGGTACTGAATAAGCCGCGTATATTTTTACCGTGTGAACGCTCAAGTACGGTACTGAAATCCTCGTGTGAACGCAGCTTATGTCTGAGTAAAACAATGCAAGCGACCGGTGGAAACAGAAAAATATTATTATGTCTAGACATTTAATAAAAAAAACTTGCCCTATTTTCAGTCCCCTGATTTCCTATTCATAGTTCGTTTGTTCCTTTTGACAACTTGAAAAAGTGATTCAAGAGTCTCCTATAATGTGTTCAGAATAGCTTAGAATGCACAAAATTGCACCATTCTTTAAAAAAAATGACTACGGTCCTCGCATTGCTCGCTCCTCTGTTTGCTAATTTCAATTTCAGCTGAAAATTTAATTCTCCAATCTCATCCCTGCATATCAGATGTATCCCTGCATATATGCATCCGTACCCAGGGTATGTTCCGGCAGTACCCTAGGGGACATAGACCCTATGAGCATTATTTATATCATTGCGATGATTTAGATTTATTCACATGTATGTATTGCAGGCTTTGCTTCGCGGAAAATACCTACCGACCTAGACGCAATTGTCGTGGGTAGTGGCATCGGAGGGCTATGTACAGCAGGCTGTCTTGCCAGGTTTGGGAAGAAGGTGTTAGTGCTCGAGCAGCACGACCAAGCTGGTGGCTGCTGCCACACGTTTGAGGAGAAGGGATATGAGTTTGACGTCGGTAAGAAAGCTGCTACGTCTATTGTGAACATACATTATGTTGATCATCACCCTATCCTTCAGCCTTGACTTATATATTCCTAACCTTACCCTAACCCTCACCTAATCTTAAGCACATTGTTACATACCCGTACAGTTGTCGTAAAGTTGAATTGACCCTACAGCACTGCATTTGTACTACCCTGTACTTGCTTGTGAATTTACGAATGCTGTGAGACAATTTTAATTTACGTCCTGCCATGTTCAGAGACAATGAGCGAATCGTAAATTTACAAAGGTATGATCATCCTTCTTAGTCATTGTATATAATTTGGTTTATTATTTCGGATTTCATTAAAAATGGGGTAACTTTCACTTCGCAAGGCGTCCATTACGTTGGGGAGATGGTCCGTTGGAATCTGAACTACAATCTTCTTGACCAACTGACCAACGGGCAGCTGCAGTGGGAAAAGCTGGACGAAGACTATGATAGCGTACGTGAATCACATTCACTGCTAGGTTTGAAGCAACGTCGGAAGTGTACGTAGTTTCGTAAGCGCTGTCTGTGGTGCAAATCAGTAAATATACAGCCATGGACATAGAAATAAGGACGTAAAGCAGTGTAGCTTTAGTAGGCACACACACATGCAAGTACGTGCGCATGCACGCACACACTCATGCAAGCACGCGCGCATGCACGCACACACTCATGCAAGCACGCGCGCATACATGCACACACTCATGCAAGCACGCGCGCATACATGCACACACTCATGCAAGCACGCGCGCATGCACGCACACTCATGCAAGCACGCGCGCATGCACGCACAC